CTACAATTGTGTTTTTCTAATGCTAAATTACCCAAATAAATTTTATATTTGTTAATCTTAAGACTTCCCTCAGAGTCTACAACCTAGAATCTCAATACTGCTTAAATCACCCTTTAATAATGACTAAGAACTGTAATGCTGTAATCATTAGTAAGTGATGCAATACAAAAAGCACCAGCTACCCCAAGAGGCTCCTCTGCTTCAAACAAAAATAAAATCCATGCAGTTTTTTGAACACCAGGCTTTTGTTATAATTAATTTGAAAACAGTCAGAGAAACATTACATCTTCAGGAAATATTTCCTGCACAGAAACAGCTGAATCAAATTCCTTAATTACATAGACACAGTAGCCTGGCAATTGAAAGGGAAAAAGCATTAAAACCGGTGTATCAGTGTCATCCCTCACTGTTCAGATTTGCTTTCTAAAAATGCTGCATGATTAATTATAATTAAACTTCATATTTAAACATTCTTTGTGCATAGCTTCCCCGTATTTTTCCCTCAGACTCTTCCAAGCATACCAGTGAAAATGCATTTGCAATATCATCTACCTGATGGTCACCCTCTCCCTCCCCCCAGGGCTTTTTTGGGGTTTTAACAACAAAGAGAATGTTTCATCCCCTTAAAAGCTGAAGCAAGGTTCTTCTGCAGCACAGAAGCTCTTACTTAGGATGCTATTAAAAGAGCATGGTAGATTACTTCTGTGCAGAGGAAGAGGCAACACACACAAAAACCAATATCCCACTGGAATATTTTTGCTTTGGATCAGGACATATCAGTTTGGTTTTTTAAATAACATTTTAAAAGATATTTTCCACTGTACTGCTATACCTAAACTGTTTTAACAAAGAAGAAAGACAGGCCTCAATATAAGCCATAATACTGGCAAAACGCCAGGAAGGCAATGTGTGGTTTTTATTTATCTGTACTACTTTTGTTCCAGAAGAAACAGAATGTACTTACTGTTTTGCTTCTATAACATAAACAATCAAATGTAAAAATAGAAGGAGGAAGAGAGCACAAGCAAGCAGATATAAGTAAAGAAAACAGAAAGGCACGTGCTAGTGGTTACAAACAATAAAGGTAAGCGTAAGATACCACGGATGTTCAGCCCAGCAAGTAAATTTGAACACGCTGCTATCTAAATCTGTACTGCCTTCTGGAAGGAAAAAAACAGGCCATATTGTCATTAAAATTCCAGATATTGCAACTAGGAATGCTTATCTATCATTGAGAAATGACTCTGCTGGTGTTTTGCTTATTAATGGTAAGGTCCACAGTCACGTTCCAGAGTAAGTTATGTATTTAAAGTGCATGACGTTTTCTTCTTCTAGTCATAGGGTACTATATTTTTATTGATGCTAGTATTAGATCAGTAATTCCCAAGAATAAGTTATCATCTTCTGCACATTCACTTCTAACTTCGCTCCTAAGTTAAATTTTTTGTTCCTTCCCTACTGCAGGGCATCTACAACGATGTGTAGGAAGGCAGTTCTACCTAGCTTTCTTCCAAAGTAATTTTGCATTGTCCTTTGGTGCACAGAGGGTTTTTTCACCAAGCCCAGACTAACACTGCGTGTACGTGCATGCATGTGTGCAGAAAGATGTCACTGCTTACAGCAAGTTGTTCCGCAAGGACTTCTTGTAAAGAGGAACTAAATCAGTTTTGTCATTTCAGCCTCTTACAATCGGTCATGCCTGCTGGACTGTGCTGCTGAAGCGTCCCGTATCAGATCAACAGCCACGAAGTTCAGTTGCCATTTAATTTCTTACAGGCAAAGAAAAACCAAGTGAGAACCCCACAAAATCCAATGTAACAAGTAGCTCTCAGAAGAGAGGAAAGAATGTCATTTAGTAACTCCTAATGAATGTTTCAAAAATAGAAGTTTTAAAGCCCCAGTGTTTTGAGATGCAGACAAACTTCCCATTTGCAAAAATGATGATTCCAAATTTTAGAAAAAACATAAATAACATATGACACGCATACGAATGTCCACTAAAAACAGTTACTGTTTCCCTTTCGGCCATCATCTATTAGCTGGTGAGAAGTCAGTCAAGCACTGTACCTAATTACAGAAATGTAACTTGTCCAGAGCGCTGAAACACAGGGGAACATCAGGAAATACTTCTCCCACTGTGAGGTGACTGGTAACTGGAATGGTGTGCAATCTTTTTCCTTGGAGATCTTCAGAAACCACCCGGACACGATCAACCTGTTCTGGCAGCCCTGCTGCGGCCCAAGGGACCAGAGGGACCCACAGGTCCATTCCTACCTCAGCGTCCCCACGGTTCCATTGCACAGTCTGACTCAAAGAAACATTACTTAACAAGGCTACAAAGCACGCAGGTATCTTTCACACACAGAGTCCACCTAACCTGTCAGAAAGCTTTTAAAAAGTTTCACTTCACTTGAAAAAAAAAAAAAAAAAAAAGTTTTCTCTCTACTTTAATTGCAAGAAATTTTAAAACAAATCTTTACCTTTTGGTGAGGTACCCAGGAGTGAACATGGCAAATAGGGTAGCTTGCACACTGACTCACTCCCTTTGACAGCTTTCTATGCAATAATCTCTCCAATAGGAAAGAAGGTACCCATGATTTACTTATTCCAGGTGGCTAGCAGAAAACTAAAGGTGCTTAAGGAAAACAGAACTGAACATATACTTGAAGGACACTAAAGTGACTAACAGGCAAGTAAAGGATTCCTTTGATATCCTAAAAGAAACAGAGGGCTGGAATACTTCTAAGAAAGGTTGAGAGAACTGGGCTAGCTTAGTTTGGAGAAGAGAAGGCTCTAGGGAGACCTCATGGGGGCCTTCCAGTACTTGAAGGGAGCATATGAACAGGAAGGGGAACGGCTGTTTATGGGTGGATAGTGATAGGACAAGGGGGAATGGTTTTAAACTGAGTCAAGGCAGGTTTAGGTTAGATGTCAGGAGGAAGTTTTTCACTCAGAGGGTGGTGACACACTGGAACAGGTTGCCCAAGGAGGCTGTGGATGCCCCATCCCTGGAGGCATTCAAGGCCAGGCTGGATGTGGCTCTGGGCAGCCTGGTCTGGTGGTTGGTGACACTGCACATAGCAGGGGATTGAAACCAGATGATCATTGTTTTCCTTTTTAACCCAGGCCATCCTATGACTCTATGATAAACAAGACAAATATAAATCTTTAATGTTAAGCCAGTATCTTCAGATTTTGTATGAAGACAGATTTGATCTCAAGACAAAACCTAAGTTACTCCACTTTGTTTCTGAACACGGAAGATTACTTTCTGGATAGATAGTCTTATAGATAGTCTTGGAGTTTCTGTAGTTTTATTGTCTTTTTTTTTTTTTTCTGTGAGACAGTAGGACTACTTAGCTCTGCTTCTAAGGTATTTCTCAAGCACTGCAAATGAGATCACTTAACATAACCCATCTCTTAATGTACTCGCCTAAATCGTTACACCTGCGTGAACGCATTAATCTTCCTTCCCTGGCACACCATCAATACACAGTAGAAACATATTAGGAAAAGAAGGGAGAGCGAGAGTACAAAGCGTAAGTCCCGGAAAATCAGGAGGCAGGGCAATCACTGAGGAAAAGAAATACGCACCCCCAGGCCTGAACGCTGTGCCGGCTGAACGCTTATAAACAGGGAACGCCCAGCTCAAATAAATACATTAAGGTACCACTCCTCTTCGGGTTCGAGGTTAGCGATAACCCAAGGGAAGGAGGGCGTTTTAGAAAGCTTCGCGTATCTTTTTCCATTCGCAACGAGTTGCTAACGCCCGCATTCGGGCTCGTCAGTCGAACAAAGGTAACGAGGAGCTGAGCGGTTTTTAGCACGGCAGCACAATTCGCACACCGCGGGGCTGCCCGCACCGCCGCCGCTTCACCACCATCGCTCAGGGGCTCTTAGGAGCCGGAGGAACGAAGCCAAGCAAACGCTGCTACCCTGCACCTGAACAGCGCTCGGCCCGCGGGATCCACAAACAACATCCTCAGCTCAACGCTGCCGCTTCTTTTGATTCTCCACCCGCACGGCGAAGAAGCCGAAGCGCTTCGCCTCCCAGCCCAAGGGCCGCGCAGGACGCGCACACAGGCACACTCATCTCCCAGGCGCCCAGCCAGCCCGTTGCGATAACACGGCCGGCACAACACGACCGTCTCCAGGTGCGGAGGAGCCTGACGGCGACGGCCGAGCCGGGGCCATCGGAGCGAAGGGAAGAGCCCTCCCCAGGGACGACGGGCGCCTTTCCCCAGCCCGGCCATGGGGGCGGCTCTTCCCAGCGAGGAGGGCACGAACGCCCGGTGCTGACGGGTGCCGCCGCCCCCAGCCCCGCTCTGAAGAGGCAGCGGCGGCGTCTCCCGGCAGCGTGCGAAGGGGTAAAGATGGCGCCGCGCGCCGGCCCGCCGTCCTCCTTCTCCTCCTCCTCCTTCTCCTTCCCTTCGCCTCCCTCCCCCCGCCGCGCCGGGCCCCACCTTGCCGAAGTGCGCGGCCCAGTGGATGGGCGTCCAGCCGTAAAAGGAGTCCTCGGCGGCCAGATCGGAGCGGGGCGCGCTCTGGAGCAACGCGCACAGGGCGGGCAGGTCGCCGTCGCGGCAGGCGCGGTGCAGGGGGAAGCGGAGGGTCAGCAGCTCCTCGCTGGAGAAGCCCGCCTCGGGGCCGGCGCCCAGCGACATGGCGGGCAGGGCGAGGGAAAGCGGCGAGAGGGATGGCAGCGGGGCGAGGGGGGGGAAAGCGGGAAGGAGGGGGAGAGAAGGAGCGAGCGGGCGGGCCGAGACGCGCGGAGTGGGCTGCGAGCGGCGGCGACTGCGGCAGCCGTTACCGCCCGAGCACAAAGGAAGCGGGCGGGGCGGGGCGGCGCCTCCCTGGGCGGGCGGGGCGGGCGCGAGGCAGAGCACGGCGGGAAGCGCGCGGCGGCCCCCGCGCTCCCGGCTCTTCCAATCCGCTTGGCGCTCCGCCGGGATGGGAGGGGGGATGAGGGGGGTTGGGCAGAGCTGGATGGCGGTGCGCGCTGCTGGACCGTTTTTCCCGTTGCCCGGGGCGGAGGACCTGTTGCCGCCGCCTGAGGGGGCAGCGCGGCGGGGAGAGGGGGAGCTCGCGTTCCCGCTTCTCGCCCGGAAACTCAGCGCTGCCTCCAGGCGGACAGCCGTCGGTACGTTGAGCCCCGAGCTGGGCTTGCAGCGCAGCGAGTCCGTCTGACGGCCGTCGTGTGCTGTTAGCGACTGTCAGTGCCCCGGCAGAAGGGATACTTGTCAGTGTGAAGACGCACACGCAAGATTAGATTGAAACTTTGCCTCATAGGCCCCCCCTTTTTTTTTTTTTTTTTTTTTTGCCAAAATAATAATTATAAACATTAGGACGCGTGAGGGAGGATGGATTACAAATGAGCCCTTCCATAGATGGTGATGCTGAAGCACGAAGAGACTGAGCGCTGTGGCCAAGGGAGAGAGCGCTGCCCACAGCTCCACAGAATCACAGAATGGCCTGGGTGGAAGGGACCTCAAGGATCATGAAGCTCCAACCCCTGCCACATGCAGGGCCACCAACCTCCCCATTTAACACTAGACCAGGCTGCTCAGGGCCCCATCCAACCTGGCCTTGAACGCCTCCAGGGATGGAGCATCCACAGCCTCTCTGGGCAGCTGTTCCAGCACCTCACCACTCTCTCTGTAAAGAACTTCCCCCTCACATCCAACCTAAATCTCCCCTCCCTTAACTTAAAACCATTTCCCCTTGTCCTGCAGTTACCTACCCTTTCAAAGAGTTGATTCCCCTCCTGTTTTATGTTCCCTTTAGCTACTGAAAGGCTGCAATGAGGTCACCCTGCAGCCCTCTTTTCTCCAGGCTGTACAAGCCCAGCTCCCTCAGCCAGTCTTCGTAGGGGAGGTGCTCCAGTCCTCTGATCATCCCAAAATGGCTTTGAACATCTCCAGGGATGGGGCATCCAAGGCTGCACCTGGCCTTAGCTTTCACAGTTTATCATCCCATACACACTTCTTCTTTTGTGATTTATGTGTATTTTTTCCCCACATCAAACTGCTCTGTTTGATGCTCACTGTTTGACTTGCTTTGGAATTAAATAATGAAGGTACCATATGATAGAACAGTTGAAAGAAGGAAAAAATACAACCGTTCCAACAGCTTATGTTATAAAAATGTTAATTACCAGAACATCTGGTATTAAATGAAACAGCTTCTTCAACTGAAAACAGGCAAGCAGCTTTTACAGTGTATATACACACTACTGTTTGTAGTCACTCGTGTTGTTTATGATTACCATAAAAAGTAATGAATATTAAAAATATTCTTTTTTATTATGATGAACAGAAATTAACCAGTACTTTACTGAGGATTCATATTAAGGATTTGCATATGTTTTGCATCTCTTGCAGGGATATGGAAACTACCACACCAAGTAGACAGTGGACTTTCTAATTTCCTTATATAAATTCATTAACTTACTAACTTCCACCACTTCCTGCAAGATAGCTGAGTTCAGTTGCACTCATATTACAAATGAGGAAGTGAAATACCAAGAAAGGAAGTGGTTTAACTGTATTATGCAGGAATTCTGCTTGTGAAACCGAATCCTAGCATCTTTAGTCACCACAGTAAGCAGTCATCCACAGGGACCTTGAAGGCTGTAGAGGGATGACAGAGATCTCATGGAGTTCAACAAGTCAAAGTGCTGAGTCCTGTATCCAGACAGGAGCAATTCCTGGAACCACAGCATGCTGGGACCACCCAGCTGGAAAGCAGCTCTGCAAAGAAGGACCTGAGGTTGTGGCAGAGACCCCCCTCTTCTCTGTGCTGCTAAGGTTGCATCTGGAGAACTACTGGGACTCCAGTACAAGAGAGACCTTAACATACTGGAAACAGTGCAATGGAGGGTCACCAAGATGGCTGGAGACTGGAGTGAGGAAAGGCTGAGAGGGCTGAAGCTCTTCAGCCTGGAGGAGACTCAGGGATCTCATCAATGTAAGTAAATACCTGAAGGGAGGATGCCAAGAGCATGGAGCCAGGCTCCTTTCAGGGGTGCCAAGTGCCAGAACAAGCAGCAATGGGCACAGACTGCAATACAGTTTAGTTCAGAGTTCCCTTTGAAGAGCACACAGCACTTCTGTGCTGTGTGGGTGCTGGAGCACTGGCACAGGCTGCCCAGAGGCTGTGGATTCTCCTCCTTGGAGGCCTCCTAAAGCTGCCTGGCTGTAGGCCTGAGCACCCTGCTCTGGTGGCCCTGATGATGAGGGGATGGGCCAAAGGGACACAGAGGGCCCTGCCAGCCTCAGCCTTCCAGTGAGTCTACAGGCTTAAGTTTTGCAACTAGAATTTTTGTTGTGACGTTAACCTTTTTTATTTCCTTACTGGTTATCTACACCAAACATTCTAAAGTTTCACAGAAATCACTGGTTCTGGTATTATGCTGCATGTTATAAGATAAAATTCTTTAACTAAGTAGTATAAATAGTATGCTTACTGTATTACTTACACAACAAAATATATTCCTAATTTCTTATGTTTCAGAAGAGTTCAACCACTAAGTTTAGTTGCCCTATATATGTGTTTTGAAAAAAAATTGTTATTTGCAAGCCTATTTGCATTAATTTTGTCCTCTTTCTATTCCTGGTCTTTCAAGGGAAGTGAGAAGCTTTCTGTCTCTGTCAGTTCAAGGAGGTGGGCCTTCTGCTTACTCAGGAGTTTAACAGAACAGCATTTCCCCCAAGGAAGTAACAGAAAAGATGCAGTTTTATTTTAGCTGGTTTTACTTTTATGTTCTCTTTTGCCTCAAGGTTGTGAAATGAAATAAAATAAAATAGTCCATAAATGAGGACTTCTTGAATATTCAGTAGAGTCTAATAAGTATACATTTAGATACAAAATACATGATTTTAAAGTGTTTTGTGAAAATGTATCTCCTGAGCTCTGGTAAGGCTGCATCTTGAGTACTGTGTTCAGTTTTGGGCCCCTCTCTACGAGAAAGACATTGAGGCCCTGGAACATGTTCAGAGAAGGGAAATGAAGTTGTGGGGGGTCTGGAGCACAGATCTTATGGGGAGCAGCAGAGGGAGCTTGGATTCTTCAGCCTAGAGAAGAGGAGGCTCAGGGAAGACCTCATTGTTCTCTACAATTACCTGAAAGTAAAGTGAAAATCTTCTTCTCCTGGGTAACAGTGATAGTTCGAGAGGGCATGGCCTCAAGGTGCATCAGGGTTCAGGTTTGATATTACAAAAAGCTTCTTATCTGGGAGAGCAGCCAGGCAATGGAACGGGATGCCCAGGGAGGTGGTTGAGTCACTGTCCCTGGACTTGTACAAGAATCGTTTAGGTGTGGTACTAAGAAACATGGTTTAGTGGGCAACATTTGTGGTGGATGGTTGGGCTAGATAATCTTAGATAATCTTTTCCAGCCTTAATGATTCCATGATTTACACAACCCTGTAATGTACTCTGCATTTTCTATGTGCCATTCTTGTACAAATTAATTACATTTGCTGATTTTATTTTGCAGGAAGGTTGAAGATGGAGGACTTTATGATAACTCACACAGAATGGTCTTGGATATTTTTGTAAAAAAAAAACAAAACAAAACCACCACCACTCCAACTTTGGAATTTAATAGAATACATTCTTTGTTCAAATCCTTCCTCTTTCTTATGGAGAGCTCGCACTGGTTAACATTTAGAGTTTTATTTAGTTGCCATACATACTTGTCTGGTGCCATTTGAGACGCCCAAGAGTATTCTTGCTTGTTGCCAACTGCTGCAGGAAAATGGTACAAGCTTACATAGGTTCCCTGCCACTGTACAGAGCTGATGTATCTCTGAATAACAGCCTTGTTAGGTTGCATTAAGAATCTACATTCTGTCAAATAGGCCTTTCTTGAATATCATTTACATTGATGAACCTGGTCACACAGGGACTTCTTCACATTTTATCTGGAACTGATTTCCTCAAAACAACCCGTATTTGTAGGAGTTTGTCGTGCAATTCCATGCTGTCCAAGTACAAAAGGACAAACTAATTCTGACATTATTCATCATTCATTTTATTTTGGAAATCTGTGAACTGCGGTGAAAATGTAGCATCTCTTTAGATGCCATGTATTTATTTTAGCAATGGTGAGAAACTTTCTATAATTTCCTTAGTGCAAATAGAATCTGACTCATCATCTTCAGAGACGAGTTCAAAGTTTAGGTTTACTTCCTGGTTTTTCTTACACTTAAGACCACGACTGAGCACTGTACCACTTGACTTACTTTGTTCTTTCTTTTGTGGATTTTTTTCTATCTTCACCTTTCTTCCAGAAGACCAACTGTTCTGTTGTGTTTGCTCCTAAAGCTGCGTGGCAAATCAACATTACTCTTTCTGGTGGAAGTTACTGGGAGAAGCAGCTGAATTCTTTTTGTAAAAAGTTAATTTAATAAACATGGAAGCATTAAAGCCCAAGTGCTAAAATTAAATTTGCATAGTATGTGAGGCCTCTCAGTGCACAAAGACCAGAAAATTAATAGCAGCAGTAGCTGCTTACATGGAAAGAAAGCCATGAGTGGAAAAAGAGCAAACTGAAAGTTCTTTGTCCTCCTTTCCAGCCCTCAGTTCTCAGAATTTTGTTTGGCAAGGAAAGCAGGGAATCTGTCTGACTTTCAAATAATTACTGACGTATTACTCCATTGCAGGCAAGTAGCAAAGAGCAGCTGCTTATTGCAGCCGGAGCCAAACTCTCCCTTTGCCATCCCCCATTTCTTCCTGCCTTCCCTGGAGAAAGCTATCTCGCTGTTAAGTAAACTGGGATTGGTTTGCAAGATATATTAAGATTACATTAGAAAAATATTTACTTACGCATAAAGGAGCCTTTTAAAAAATCTTCATTGCTTAGGAAACAATGTGATTTAGCGGGTAAAAAATAAAAACAGATTTGTTACTCTACAGTTGTAAAGCTGCCATCTTTTACGAGCCTGGGAAGAGTGACCTTATTCACTGTGAGGTTTTGCCAGTTCTGCCTCCACGCAACTAATTCTTTTCCTGATTCATGGTGGGACTTATCTGGGCCATGTTTAAAGAGGTCTGCTGCCTCACAGTAAAGGAGTTGATTATGATTTTTAGCTTATTGACAAACTGTCCTTCACTTTTCAACATTCCTTACAAGGTTTAACTGAAAATTGAGATTTCTTGAGAGAGAAAATACCTGTTAAAAACAAACAAACAAACAAAAAATCCAACAAGAACCACCACAACAACCTGTAAGAAATCAATATCAAACCATTTCAATTTGTACTGAGCCTAAACCACTGCAACAAAAAGGTCCTTCAGCGTTCTTGTCTTCCAATAAATAAATAAATAAACAAATAAATAATCTGCAACGTTACCTGAACACTGAAAGTTCATTTCTCCATTTATGTCCACACTGGAGATGAATATAAAACTGAATTCCCGAGCACTTTTATTCATGAACAAACTTCCATCAGAAAAAAAAAAAGAAAAGAAGTGTGTGTGTGTGTGTGTGGAGGAGTGTTGCTCAAGTTTCTCTTTATGCAATTCACATGATGACTCCCTGAATTCCTCCTGATACTTCATTAGAGATGCTGTCTTCCTCCCTTGTTAAGCACTAGTGAGTGGTTGCTGTGTTCCACCCTGCTGTGCAGCAGTGGAGGAAGCAACCTGTCCGTGTTACTTTGTGCTCTGTGCTACGTTGAGATGTAAGGAATGCTAATGACTGTGTGAAAATTTCATCTCTGGCATCCAGAAGGATGCTGCGGGGTGCTGCGTATTGCAGCTCTTGGAATTCATGGCTGCAGCTGTGGAGTCTATGCAACTGAGCATGATAAATCACACCAAACAAATCTTTCTACATTAAGGATACCTTTACAGTTACTGTGTACTATTCTGTTTTGCATTTGGATGGAAGCTTGAAGAAATATATTAGGTAACATTTATTTAAATGTTAAATGAAATAACAAATAAATCCATGACATGACTGCATTTACATGGATCTGGAATTGATAAATCATCTGATTTTCCAATTCCATAATCTGGAAATCTTTCCATGGGGAAAGAAAAAAATGTATTGAAGTGAAAAATGTCATATCCTCTTACAAAGAGAACAAACAAAAGTCTTGAGAAAGATGAAGAGTATGACACGTCTATTTCTAAGCCTGGCAAGTATTCTTGAAACCCTCAACCTGAGATTAGCTGCTATGTTTGTTTAAGTCTACTCATTTCAGAAAGAACGTGCTTCTGTCCTAACTGTGGTTTAATCAAGCAATCATAGCTCCATCTTTTTGTTAAAGGAGATGGTGTCTGGTGTTTTTCTTCATGAAACAGAGCAAAAAGACAGGCAGTTTACATTACGAGGTTTCTCTAGCTAGCATAGTATGAAAGGAGCCATCTTGTGGTTGTCTATTCTGCAAACAAAATGTTGCTACAGTATTGCCTTGAAAAGCTGAAGTTACCTCTATAGTTCTATGCTATGTATATAGAACTACCTCTATAGTTCTGTGACAATTTTTCTTCTACTTGTTTAGAAATGTTGCATTTTGAGTAAAACTGTTTTCACTCAATCTTTTTCGTTCCATCAGATTTCTTATTCTACCAGGCATTCAATCTAGCCAAACAGAATTAAACTTTGTATGTTCATTCTACGTCCTCTATTAGTCAACCCACACCAATATTTACCAGTCCTCTGAGTTCTTACACCCTTTAATTTGCACTCTAAGTTCTGCTTTAAACTGCAGTCAATCATATCTCTGAAATACGACTCTCTTAGTGGAACCGATTTCTAAGTAAGTGACAAATTATTATTTTTTTAATAATATCCATTAAGATGTAATCTTTGGGAACTATGTGTATTCCAGATGCAAAACTGAAACAAACCAACCTTCAGATTTGACCTGGGGAGACAACATTTGATAATCAGTCTGATAAATGATAAATCAGTCTGATTTCTTGGCCTCTTTGATAATACACAAAGACACTTGGATTAATCTTCACAATCCTCAGCAGATATAGGTAAATCTATTTCATATATATTAGCTCACTGATGTTTGTATTAGTTTAATTATATCTATTTAAAAAATCCCTTAGATAACTCAGAAGTTATGTATAAATAACAAGCCTAAATCATAACTCCTGAAGTTCTTAAAGTGGAACAATTTTAGACAAAAATCTGATTTCTTTAGAACTGTTTTAATTAATTAATTAATAACAGTCAAATTAAAAGTCTAATTCAAATTTTTGGACGCTAACAATTTTATGTCCTTCTTATACTGTAGCACCCAAACCTGCCCCCAGTGCTGGAGGCGAGGCCACCCACCGCAGAGCACAGTGAGACAACCCCTCCCCTGGCCCAGTGGCAGTGCTGGGCCTGCTGCCTGCCAGGGCACTGTGGACCCTTTGCCTGCCAGGGCACACTGCTGGCTCACATTCAACTTGCCACAGCCCCCATATCACTTTGCATGGGGCTGCTCTCCATCTTCTTGTCTTTAGTCTGTGCTTAGATCCAGTGTTGCCTCATCCCAAATGCAGAATCCAGCACTTGCTGTTGTGGAACTTCATGCAGTTGGTGATTGCCCAGCTCTCCAATGTACCAAGATCTCTCTGCAGAGCTTCTCTGCCCTCAAGGGAGTCAACAGCTCCTTCTTGATGCCATCTGCAAGCTTATTTAGTATACCTTCAAGAAACATATCCAAGTAATTAATAGAAACATTGAATAGAATTGGACTTAAAATGGAGCTGTGTGAAGCCCATCACTGACAGACGTAGCCCAACCCATCAGCCAACTATTCACCTGTCATGTTATGTTTTTGCCTAGCTGTATGCTGGACAGGATACTGTGAGAAACAGTATTGAAAGCTTTGCTGTCATCCAAAAATATTGCACATCCTTGCATCCTTGGTTGATTGGATCTCCTTTAATAAAGTGAGCCTCTGTGTATTTCTGAAGACAATCACAGCAGTGATTGAGGTTCACAGACTGACCTCTGTCTCTGCATATTTGAGTGGGACTTGAAAATTTATTTTTTATGCATTTCTATGATAATATGGATTTACTTCAGTAAAACTGAAGTCAGACTTAAGTACCAGGCTGATGTAATTATACAGTTTCTTTGATATTAAGAAGGATGAAAGTCAAGAACTTTTACAATTATGGTATATTGTGGAGGAGAATAAATATGCATTCCAAGAATCATGGAATATAATGAATTTAAAACAGGATCAATTGTGAAAACAGACCTCTTGGAAAAGAATGTATTTTTATGATATTCTCTCTACTGTCTGAACTCTATGAAAACCTGAGACTTATCAACGTATCCTCATTTAACAACAGAACTGAATTTAGTTTATTAGAATTATTTGGATTCAACTTCCAGAAATTTCTTGTTGGGAAATTTTGTAGTCAGATATTTTTTTTAGTTTGAGTTTTTCTACAGAGGTCAGTATTTCCATATCAATAAACAAGAAGTAGGGTAAGATTTTCCCTGGGTATAAAAAAATCACTTCTGACCACTGCTAAGGAGGCTTACAGCAGATCAATCATAATGGTACCTTCATAAATTTTATGCATGCTTTCTTTTCTGCTAGTTGGGATTTCATTGATTCTACAACCAGAAATTGTCTTATTCAAATGGCAAGGAAAGAACTAGAAGGATCTGGAGGAGAATACTGCAATACCCTCATCAATGGTAAACTACTGGCCTACTAAAAATGAAATGAAATCCTTTTGGTACCTTCTCCTTTCTCCTATGAAGAAGGGTTGAGAGAACTGGGCTAGCTTAGCTTGGAGAAGAGAAGGCTCTGGAGAGACCTCAGTGTGGCCTTTCAGTACTTGAAGGGAGCATATGAACAGGAGGGGGTACGACTGTTTACATGGGTTGATACATGGGTGAGATAGGACAAGGGGGAATGGTTTTAAATTGAGACAGAGAAGGTTTAGGTTAGATATTAGGAGGAAGTTTTCCACTCAGAGAATGGTGATGCACTGGAACAGGTTGCCCAAGGAGGTTGTGGATGCCCCATCTGTGGGGCAGGCATCTTGTGCCTGTTGTCTCTTTCTGTCACTTACTTATTCCTTCCTCTTTTTATAAAACCTTAATCTCAAGAAGCATGGCATTTTTTTTTTATTTTTTTTTTAACTATTTTTGTAGATGGTAGACATCATTTGAAACAGCTGAACACTGCTGGAAGCCTATTGAACAACCTCACTTCTTGCAGACATCAGCTTGTTCTTCACCAGTGTCATCTCTTCTATAGTAGCTGAGTTCTAGTTCTGATCTAATCGGAGTGGGTTGTGTTTTCATTGACCTCCCCAAAATAAACAGAACCAAACTGAAATACCTGCTTTGTTCATTAGATTGGGAATTTTATTAGATAAACCTTTACCAGTGATAACTGCTTGTCTGGACTGAAGAAATGGCTACTTCCCAATTTCAGCTATGTTGTCTTTTACTGTGGAAACTTTGCCTTATGTGCAACTTCAGAACATTCTTCCTGTATCTGCTAGGTATGTTAGAATAATTTCTGAAATCATACAATTCCGAGCAGAAATTACCAATACTGGCCTTAAAGCCTTTAGCAGTGTAAAACAGGAGGTTTACCTGTAAGATCCCCACGTAATAGTATTTATTCTAGCAGATGTCTCACCTTCCAGCTGTAGTAGTGACGTACTTAACAGTGAAATTCAGTACCCTCACATGCTGATATTCTTTTCACTGACCATACTTTCTCTAAAAAATACACTGATATTTTAGGGGGAAGAGAAGATGTGCTGCCATTCTGAAGATGTTTGTGAAATTAGCCTTAGCAGGCTTTTTGGAGCATCTTACACAGAAGCTTAAATCACAGCCATTATTTATACCAACATTAAGTAATTGCGTAACCCAAAGGAATGGCAATTTGTTATTTTAAGCAATCAGACAGGGCATAAGAGACTTTCCGATATCACATGATGGCATGATTTAATGCTGAAATCTTTAGTCATACCATGTTTAAAAATGATAGATAGTGGATATTGAGCTCAATGTCTAAGATGAGTTATCTTTTTTGAAACAGTTTTTTTTCCCCCGTGTGGGAAATAATTGTTTGCCTACAACAGTAAGCAGATGGATTACCACACTTGCAAAACAGCCTTAACTTTCAAGTTTTGGAGAAGCTGATGAATATTCAAGTAATTAAGATACCAGCTTGCATTATAACATATCAAGTTTGGTTCATTTGTTCTTATGGATTTTCCTGGATAAGATTTATATGTCCAGATTAAAAAATGCTTCGTGCTACTATTGAGAGTAGCTGAAATCCTCTTCAAATAGCAGTTAAGTTTCTTAAAAACTTTATTGTGTCTGGAACTAGGTCCATATCCACTAGGAAAATAGAGGAAGACTGCTGGGTTTCCATAGTTTTCCAGTGTTTGTAAGGCTAAATATTATTTATGTGAATTACTCGACTGCTACAAAAGCTATGAGTATGGAAACGTGTAAAGAAAAGCTTACATGTTTCTGTGATACTTGAACCACAAAAAATGTTTGATATTAAAACTGTAATGTATTCTTGAAGTGTATTACCACTGTAAAAATGAACAAAAAGTTACAAAAATGCATGAATTGTTGTATGTTTGGGAAACACTTTAGGTTTTTTTCTCAATGAAATGCTAGGGAAGGAAGCCTGTCAGTGCAGGGGAGACCTTTGGCTCAAACAACTCCAAGTATTAATGCTGGAAAAAAAAAAAAAAAAACAATAATAAAAGAAAAGAAATTGAAGGAATTCCAGGCAGTTGTAATACATACAGTTGTAGAAAGTAATAGTTCATTGCTTCCTATGAGTGTAACAGTACATGAAATTTTGGCAAAATAAGGCAACATTTATTAACTTGTTTTCTCAGCTTAATGCAATTTATGATTAGTATTCAAGTTTCATAGATTGAAACCTGAACACATACGTGTTCACCTGCATGTTGGAATCAGGTTGGAACAGTTTTTCTTTAAGAAAAAAACACATTTTCTGATTTTTTTTTGGTGTGTGCAACCTCGAACTCGTGGATTTCCACCGTCTCACCAGATGACTGCTGTCAGTATTTTCCAAAGGAATAACACCACTGCCATTTTCTTCCTGTTCTATAGGACATTTCTGCTGCATTTTGTAGAGAATAATTAAGGTAAGTGATGATTAACATTCACCTCACTGAAGCTCAGGTTACAGCCTATTAGTTTTGCAAGTGTGAATGGTGCTTTTTCCCCTAGTATTACTGTTGGCTATTTTGCGTGGTCCCAACTGAACATATCGGCAGTTTTGGATTCCTGTCTGAACAGATGCACTATGTGGACACTCTTCTTCCCCACGTTCAGTTTTCTTTTGTCTGGCTAGCACTACCATGGTAAAGGTGAACCTTTACCCACTCTTGAGGCAGGCAAAGAGAAAGTCAGCTATTTTTAAGTGCTTATTCTAGCTGGGGATTCCCCCTAACCCCAGCTGCTCTGTATATGTGTCAAGGCACCTTATGGGTTTAAAAACATCCAAAGCTGGATGTTGCAGTGCGCCACGTCACAATGTCTTAATCTGTTTGTAGAATAAGTGTGTAAATTTTTTGATGGTGCCAAAGTGAAGAATGAAGTTCTTCCTCTGTAAAACAAAAGACATGGCAAAGACACCATAAAATGGCACTACTGTTGGTGGTTTTAAAGATTCTTGAATAGAACTGTTGAGATGTCTGACCTCAGAAGTTAAAGTTACATATGTACCCTGTGTATTTAAACCTTATTTTGGAATATGAATGCTTTCCAAAGTATATAAAGCTTGATACAAAAAAATAAAGTGTATTTAAACTTTTCAATTTTGGGGTAAAAAGCTTTACGAACTACAATGAACTCAGAAATTCACTGGGGAATTTCAAGGATAATTGGGGATCAGGTCTACAGTAGAGCTGCCGAAGGCAACTTTAGTTGGCAGACAGTTCAGGAATGAGCACTGTGCTAGAATCTCAAATTAATGGGATGTCTTCTGGAAATGAGAGCCAAGAAAGAAAATCCTACTGATTATTTGAGTCTAACTTTCTGTTTCTCACCTCCAGCCACCTGCCTGGACTGCTCTGAATAAACATGAGAGAGCTCTGCCAGGGCAAATCTTGCATAAGATGTTCCATGATTCTAGTTTAATCCATCACTCTAGATTTGGGACGTACTTGGCTATTTCCAAGATCTGTTGGATGTAGTTGTTTTGGTTTTTTTTGTTTTTGTTTTTTTGTTTTGTTTTGATTTTTTTCCCCCCAGGATTTCCATGGTTTTACTGCCAGGCAATTTAGCTGAATGTAGTTCAAATTTCCTCCGTATCTCATACAAAGGGAAAGAACTCATAATACAACAAATAGTCAGGGGTTCATATGGTATGATGCCTTAGGATTTTCTTTTTTGCAGTTGTGACTTAATTCTTACACAATGTGTGTGCTAATTTGTACAGGTGATGTACTGCAGGGAATGTGAATAGAAAGCTATCACTTAGGTCTATGTATCTATAACAACAGTGAGTTAAGAATTGGATCAGAGTGCTCTGACTCACCGGTGGTGATGATCAGCTTGTGATGGCTGTAATGATTCCTGCTCCCAGCTGCCCATTCCACCCCATGACATGCCCTTTACAAGCCTCAGTTGCAGAGGTGGCTCAGCTGTTCATGTAGCAGCTGCTGTAGCTTGGCAATTTGTAGCTAAGTATATTAAGATAACCCAAAGTAGTTTCTAACTTACTATAAAACACTGGGCTGTCAACGATAGTTCTTCTATTCTCCAGCCAGAACCAAAAATGGGGAAAAGGGAACAGAACTTCTGACAATAACCCCAAAGATCCGAGATGTTGGATGGAAGAAATTATGCTGTGTACTGTGCTGCGAAACTTGGGAACATTTTCACATCCTTTTTTAGGAATAGGTGCCATAGACTTAACCCAGCTTTGGATTCAGATGGTACACAGCCAAGATAACTCATCTCTGATTGTGAATCAGAACTCTGAGAGTGGGAGTCAGATCCAGATCGAGATTAAGCTTGGATGTCTGTAGGGTGAATTTAGATAGGTGAGGTACATGTTCAGTGTACAA